CCCCCCGCCCCCCCCTTTCTCTCAAAATCCGTGAAAACATATCCTTGGGTGAGGATTTAAAAAAAAAAAAATTATCCCCTGGCTGGGCTGTTCCGTAGGTTACAAGTGGTCCCGATATGCTAAGGTTGTAGGTTTTATCCACTGTTGGGGCACATATAAGAATCAACCAATGAATGCATAAATAAGTGGAACAACAAATTGATGTTTCTCTGTCTCTGCCTAAACTCTGTCTTTCTAAAAATAATTTATAAAATTTCCAATCTGTCACCAAGTGGTATTTTTGTAAAATACAATAAAATGAGTTACTAGAAAAATGAAATTAAAAATACATGAAATACAAAGCTGAGCTTTACATATTGGATTCATAAGACTTAAAGCTACTTTTACAAATTGCTATAAAAGTTTCTAAATTTGTACTCTCAATTTCTGAGCTTATCTCATTGTGGATAGTAACAGTTTATAGTCCAGCACTGGTCCATGGACCCCACTTTGAGTTGCACTGTTCTAGAAGGGTTTCTTCAGACTAACAGTCTAGAGGAGTTGACCTTTTTAGAATTCTATCTGAGTTTAGACAGTAGTACATTAGTAATAAGTAATTCTTAACTACACTTGGATAATCCGAAATACTGTTTTTTACAGTATTGATTGAAAAAAATCCACACAGTTCAAACCTCTGTTGTTCAAGGGTCAACTGTATACAAATGATCCTATCTAATAAAGAGAGACTATGCTAATTGACCCTCATGCCGTTTCAAAGATGGTGGTGCCCATAGCCAATAAGGGGAAATATGCTAAGTGACTGCCCCACCCTCAAAGATGGTGGTGTCTGCAGCTACAAGACGGTGGCACCCAGTCCCCTCAGCCCTGACGGGGTGGCAAGCGCTTGGGAAGGAGTCCCCCAGTCCTCTCAGTCCCCTGGCCACTCAGGTCTGGATCGAGGTACAGGCAAGCCTCGGATGGCGGCTGCCCAGTGGCCCAGGGCCACTTGAGGCTCAGGTAATGAGGGCAGCAGCAGAGGTGTGATGTAGTGTCACTTTCCCCTGATCGTCAGGTCACCTCCCGCCCCTGAGGGACTCCCAGACTGTGAGAGGAGTCAGACCAGGCTGAGGGATCCATCTCCAGTGCATGAATTTTCATCCACTGGGCCTCTAGTATGAAATATAAAGTCCCAGAATGCAGAGGCTAAGGAGTACATCCGTTTAGTACATGTTTTACGTCAAGGAATGAAAATGTTGGCCTAAAAAGTTACATGAATATTTTTATTGAGCAAATTAAATGTTTAGTGTAAAATCGCTTTTATAAAATGACTAGAGGCACAGTGAATGTAATCGTGCATGGCAGGGGTCCCCTCAGCCCAGCCTGCACCCTCTCCAATTCGGGACATCCCTCTCACAATCTGGGACCACTGGCTCCTAACTGCTCATCTGCCTGCCTGCCTGACCTCCTAACTGTCCCCCACTGCCAGCCTGATCACTCCTAACCACCTTTGCCTGCAGACCTGATCACCCCTAACTGCCCCCCCTGCCAGCCTGGTTGCCCCCAACTATACCCCTCTGCCAGCCTGGTAACCCCTAATTATCACCCCCCACCCCCAGCCTGGTCATCCCCAACTGGGCTCCCCTCCCCCTGCTGGCCTCATCTCCCCTTACTGCCCCACCTGCCGGCCTGGTTGCCCCCAACTTCCCCCCCTCTGCCGGCCTAGTTGTCCCATGTAGCCTGCTGTTGGGTCGTTTGGTTGTCCCTCATTAACCCCCCTGCTGGCCTGGTCACCCTATGAAGCCTGCTGTTCAGTTGTTTGATCGTCCCTCACTAACCCCCCTGCCAGCCTTGTTGCCCTATGTAACCTGTTGGTCGTCCATCCGATTGTTTCAATCATAATGGCCCATGGCTTTTTATATATTAGGATGTTGCACATTAAATGAATAGAAATAGTGTATAAGTTGGCCTTGTCCCTGGGGATTTCTTTTAAAAAAAATATTTTTTATTCAGAGTGGGAGAGAGAGAGAGAGGGAGGGAGAGAGAGAGAGGGAGAGAGAGAGAGAGAGAGAGAGAGAGAGAGAGAGAGAGAGAGAGAGAGAGAGAGAGAGACACTTCATTGATGAGAGAGAATCATTGATTGGCTGCTTCCTACACCTCCCCTACTGGAGATGGAGCCTGTAACCTGGGCATGTACCCTTTATCGGAATTGAACATGGGATCCATCAGTCCACAGGCCAATGCTCTATTTACTGAGCCAAACTGGCTAGGGCCCTGGAGTTTATTAATGTCAGAATCATCAGCATTCCCACAGTTGAAATAGAAGTCAGTGTAGGGTGTTTATGTAATTTGCTTTGACTTTGAACTGACCTTGGAGTGTGCTTGTCCACTCCAATTCCACTTGCTCACCTGCGCTATTTATGCACTAGTTATCAGGTGCTTCCTGTGGGCCAGCAGGTATGTTGCTGGGCACTGAGGGATTCTAAGTATAATGAACTATTTTATTATAGAGCTTTCAGTCTAGCAGAATATCTGTCACCTTGGATTTATCCTTATCTAAGGACAATTGCAGGTAAATAATTTTCTTTCTCCTAGACTGTTCAGATCCAACTCATTCTTAAAGGCCAGTCCTATTCAGTGACTCTTCCTTGATTATGCTGGATAAAACTGGTTTCTCTGCTCTCTCAGATTCTATTGTGCTTATTTTCTTTAACCACAAATTTGTCATTAATCATGTTAATTGCTTTGAGACTTGTATCTATTGTTGTCTTGAAGTGTTATTTAAATTGTGCCTTGTTTGACTTTCATAAGTTTGATTTTTCTTTTTTGATTATATTTTCCTGAGAATGGGCTCCTTTCTTTAACTCATAGCAACAATCTCAACTTTTTTTTTATTATGCACCCCAAATAATTTGCTAATGAACCCCCAATGCATGCATATTATATTTATTTATTATAAAATATATTTATTTACATATGTAAAATATAAGTTAAGAAGAATGATGTAAGATGAAAAAAGCAATACCATAGTAGTAATGTCATCCATAAGTAGAGATATAGCATAGAAACTGGGAATAACACTGGATGCCACATGAACTGGCAAACACATTTAAAAAATAGTTTATTTTCATAATTTTAAACACATTCTGGGTTGTCACTTATTTTGGTAATGGCATTTTGAAATCTTATGCTAAGAATCGAATCCATCATTTTCTAGTAGGACCTAGAAATAGATTTCAGGCTCAAGAGATATAAGAGGATATACTTGGTGAATTAGGAACATCATATGTCATCAAATAGATAGTTCCATTCTGCTAGAGAACATTGTAAATAATCTACCTTACTGCAATTTCGTTTTATAGGTTATTTTGATAGCTGTTAAGATAGCCCATATCAGTTTTCTAGCTTCTTTACTGCTGTGTTTCAGTGTAGAACTGATAATTTTAAAACTGATTTAGTCTGAGCGAAATCACTGATGACAGAGAAAATAAATTAGTTCTGTAAAATGAAAATGTGGTGAACATCAGCTAACAATAATTCACTCTAATTTGTGACTTAATAGTTATTTAACAGGCAGTTATTGGTCTTTGAGCCTATTTTATTTCACAGTCACCTGTTATTTTAGGCTGCCAAAGCTGAAGACTTCCTTCTCAGCTGATGTTGAATATTGTTAAGCACAAACGTCATTATCAAGAAAACAGGAAGCTGTGTAGGAGAACATGCCAAATGGTAAATTAATAGTCTGGGGAAAGGAAGCTGACGTAGACTCAGGGAAGGAACCCTGGACCCATCTACTTTGTTCTTTTTAGATGGCTTGAAGCATAGATATGGTTTGAATCATTATTTTTTACAGAAAATATGTGAAATAATAGGTTTAGCATTAAATTAGAAAGCATTTGTTTTGCTTAATTTTGCATTGTCTTAAAAATACTAATGTCTTAAAGGATTATATTATATCTTGTTTTAGCTGTGTTAATCCAGATTAATTCTCAGCTGTCACTATAATCATATAAAGTGCTGTGAAATTGCCAATTTTTCCTCTTCATAGTGGGACTTTAATGATCTCAGTAACCAGAACCTACTAATGACTTAAAGAGGATTCAAATCCAAATTTACCTTTCACTATTTATTTAAAGAGTTTATTTACTTAGAGTTTGCTAAATAAATCAGTAGTGTCACATTGAGCCTATTTTATCAAGTTATAAGAGCGTTGTTCCCTCTTGTGTTTTGATGTACAGGTATACAGTTCTTATACTTATTACTGAGAAAATAATTTTCTTTTCATTAAAACATGGTAGAACACTCTTTTTGGCCGTGTTTCATCAGCTTTTGCTTTTAATTATTATAGGTACTTAATAAAGTAGCATTTGTTGAAAACAATCATAATACACATTTTCCACTAAGTTTCCCCTTTAAAAAGTATTTTTATTGATTTCAGAGAGAAAAGGTGAAGGAGTGAGAGATAGAAACAATGATAAGAGAGAAGCATTGATGGGCTGCCTCCTGCAATCCCCACGCTCGGTATTGATTGATCCCGAATTCTAGGCATGTGCCCTGACCAGGAATCAAACGCGGGAACTCCTGGTTCAACACTCAACCACTGAGCCACACCAGCTGGGCCTGGGTTCTTTTTAGGCTGAGTGAAAGCTAAGAATCTGTATTTAAAATGTGACCATAAAGTTACTCTTATAATTCTTGGCATCAAAGATTATAGACCTCTTTTGGATGATATACCTATGTTAGAAGAAGAATACATTTCTTTTAGAAAAATAACTGAAGCAGTGTTGGTGTTTCTTGTTAGAAGGCATATATTGTATTTTAATATATTTTATTGTGAGATAAATGAATTATTTGTTTTAGGGCGAGTCTTACTGTCTTGGCCTCCATGACCACTGTGGGCTTTATTTTGTTCTGTAAGCCATTGTATTAATCTTTTATTTATAAATCACTTTTTTATTCACTTTGTTAAATATCTTAAATATGTGAGGTTAAAAAAATATATTTTGTTTTTCTTTTTTTAAAAGATGCACGTCACTAACTCCTGGACCCAATTGTGACCGATTTAAACTGCATATACCATACGCTGGAGAGACATTAAAATGTAAGTCAGTGATGACTGTTTTACTAAAAGTGTAGATTACAGAAATTGTTTTAGAGTTCAGTTATTCTGGGGATGATCTATATAGTTAAATAATATGCTTGTGCTTCTGTTTCTTGACTTATTAATTTTAGGTTTTGACCTTCTCCTGTGATACATGAAGCATCAGCCTGTTTTCACTTCATCCTTTATCTCTTCTTTTTCCTCCTCTTTAATGTAATTATATCATCACTATTGGTTCTGTGTTGGTTACATTTTTTAAGGATTCTTTAAAGTATTGTGTAGTACAGTTAAATGTACAGCCTGTAAACATTCTTAGTAAGTGCCTGGCACAGCGTTAGCACTGTTATTATTTAAGCACAGTCTCTCTACAGTGACAGTGAACATGTTGTATGATCTGATTATAAATCCCTAACTGAACAGGTCTTGGTAGATAGTTATGCCCCGGGCCTATAACGTTATTTTATTTATATTTAAAATGCTCAATTATAATTGACATACAATATTATTTTATATTAGTTTTAGGGGTATGGAATAGTGGTTAGACATTTATTGCAACACTAGAGGCCTGGTGCATGGATTCGTGTACTGGTGGGGTCTCTTGGCCTGACCTGCAGGGATCAGACTGAAACCAGCTCTCTGACATCCCCCGAGGGGTCCCAGATTTCAAGAGGGCAGTTCTCAGGTGACACAGCCCGAAATTGGGCTCCCTCCTCTCTTGTTCCAGGGTGCATCACCTAAGAGCTGCAGCTGCCAAGTCACTGCAGCCTGGCAGCTCCTGTATTGAGCGTCTGCCTCCAGGTGGTCAGTGAGCATCATAGCTACTGGTTGGACGGTCGAACAGTTGGACAGTCACTTAAGCTTTTATAGATATATAGATTACTGATTTTTTCTATGCTGCACTTTGTATTCCTATGACTGTTTTATATCTACAAATTTGTACTTCTTAATCCCTTCACCTTTTTCACCCAGCCCTCTGGCAACCATCAGTCTGTTCTCTATATCTATGAATCTGTTTCTATTTTGTTTGCTCATTTATTTTCTTTAGATTTCACATATAAATAAAATTATATGGTACTGTGTTTCTCTGACTTATTTCACTTAGCATAATACCCTCTAGGTACATCCATGTTGTCACAAATGATTAGATTCCATTCTTTTTCATGGCTGAGATATATATGTATAACTTCTTTATCCAATTGTCCATTGGTGGGCACTTAGGTTGCTTCTGTATCTTGGCTTTTGTAAATAATGCTGGGCTCATGTGCACTTGAAAGGAATAGATATTCTGGGATGAGATGCTTTAAAAATATCAAATTAATCTGGTCTAAATATCATTTAGGCCTATAACTTCTATAGTGAAATATTTTAAACCAGCCTGTCCGTTGTGCTTGTGCGTCTAGGTTAACACACCTTTGAAATCCTCTAAGGGGTTGTCAAACTTCAAGAGAACACATAATCTTATTAACTATTCTGTAATCCTATCCCCTCCTTTCTTTTTCAGTCTTCATTATGTACCTTAATTTCAAATGCATAAAAGAAGCTGCAAAACTCTTGTTCTATATGAGCATTGGAGATCTTGCTCCTTGACATATGTTGTAAGTTTCACTCAAATAAACTTGTAAAAATCTACAGGTTTGGACATTTCTTACCTAGACAGTAAATATTCCCTGTGGAGCTTTTCTTAAAAACTATGTTGTTATTGATTTCAGAAAAGAAGGGAGAGGGAGAACAAGACAGAAACATCAATGATGAGAGAGAATCATTGATTGGCTGCCTCCTGTACACTTTCTATTGGGGGTGAGCCTGCAACCCAGGCATGTGCCCTGACAGGGAATCGAACCATAACCTCCTGGTCCATAGGTATAGCCACTGAGCTATACTGGTCGGGCTCCCTGTGGAGCTTTTAATTACAAATTTCCCCTTTCTTAGCTCCATGTCTCATTCTTGCCTCTCCTTACACCAATGACTGCAAGTTTTTATGGATTTACCAGGACAGATGGCTTCCTGCTCATCAGTAGCCTCTTTCTCATGTTACTGCAGCCAGACCTTTCTCTGCCCTGTTTCATCAACTACTGCTCTTCCATCTGCATTCTGCCTTCTAGGAATTTGTTGAAATTCTCATCTACTGATTGCTACTCTTTTCTTCTTCCTCTTCACTCTCCTGTTTTGGATTTTTACCTTACTCTTTCTTCACTATCATTTAATGGAAGGGTGGGTCTTGCATTGATTATAGTATACAACTTTATCTAAAGTTTTTCATTAAATTCCATTGAAAAGTTATGATGAGTGACTTAAAATATAATTTTAACCAAGGCTGAATCAAACTATTTGGAGCTTATGGTAATTTTATTTCAAAACTTTAAACTCAATGAAGTTTGAGATGGAGATGGTATTGTTTATTTAAGTTACATCTTCAGTCCCTTGCACAGTAAAGATAGTCAATGAAGTATTTGTTGAAGAAATGAAATGAATTTATGCATAAATTAATCTTTGTGTTCAGATTTTTGTTGTTTGAAGTATACTGTTAAAGAGAATGTGACATTCTGTTATATTATCTTTTACCAACATAAATTCAGTTTTTAGAAGTTATTTATTATACAAGGAATTTGTGACTGGATCATTGCTCTTTAACAGTACAGAAAACAGAAAGGACATAGAGTATTTTGCAGATTTGGAGTCTGTGTCAGTTTTCTCTTTATATATTTTACTCAGCTTTCTCAAAGCAAATCAGTGAAAATAGCATATTAGTACAACTAAATTTTATATTTTAGAATATTTTATATATCAGAAAACAGTTTTCTATAAATGTTTATCTGTGAATGAAGGAAATTTTGTGCAGTTAAGGATATTGAGAATGAAAGACAAAGGGAGGGTATATTTCTACCCATGAATTCATGAATTGATTCCTATCAGAATTATCCAGATTCAAAATTAAGTAATTGAAGCACAAAGGACCTGCAGATTGCAGTACATTAGGAACGATGTTACTTAGCTCTATTAATGTGAAGAGACAACTCTTCAATTTTGGGACAGTGAAAGAGTTACCACGTTGTGTAAGATTCTTATGGGAAATATCAAAGGCTACCTGAATTTAAGAGAAATTTTGGAGTTTCATTATTGTAGAAGAGACAGCTGGTACTTAAAGAGGATTGGGAAAGTACACCTTCCAATGGTTGGTTTAAATAAAATACATGTTATGATGGTGCCACTAAAATGAGTAAAAATTTACCAGTTGTAGTAAAATTCACAGAGGAAGTTCAATGAGCTTCATATAAATGCATATTTGTAAAAAAAATAGCCATCCTCGTCACGATCTACAGCACTTAATTTTTGAAGAGATTATGCTTGTGTTTTGTGTACCCTATTTAAATAAGGCAGAGAATAGGCTGTTTTGATCATATTTTATTTCCAATCTCTGGAGTATTGCCTGGCATTTAGAGGGGGCTCAGTAAGTGTTAGTAGAACGAATGAACCATCTTTATTCTTTGGATCTGGAAATGATGAGGTTTGATGAAGTGACAGAACTCTGAAGTGTTTTCAGTTTTACAAGTTGGTTAAATAACACTATGTAACTATAAAGAGAGATGATTGAAATACTGTAAGTTACTGGTATACCAGTCAAGTCTGTGGTTGGTAAAGCAAATGGTTTGCTAATTAGTTTCAAATTTGAATTGCTCTTTTTTTAAAAACAATTTTTCATAGTAACAATTTACTTTAATCAGGGACTGTTTGGTTATAAGAGGCCAATTGGAATAAACATAAATTAAAGAGGCTTTTTTGTTCGTCTTTATAAGAAATTAAGTGAATTCCATGGTGTCCATGGGTAGGAAGTGTAGTCACCCCTCATAGGCACTGGAACCAGGGACTCCAGAAAGATGGTATTCACCATCGTAGCCAGTCAGTATCTGTGTCTTTGTGTCTTTCTCCCACATCATATTCTATTGTCATTTACTCTCCTCACCCCGACCCCCCTAAATTTCTGTTTCTCTTCACATAGAATATAAAACACTTCCTGAGCCTCTTAAGTGGTGATTCAATTCAAGGCCACCAGAGGTTGCCTATGGTCTTGGAATCTAAATTCCTGGGAGAGAGGGTCTGATTGGCAGCTTGAACTAGGTGTCCACTCGTGATCCAGTCATTTAGCCAAGAGTTCTGGGTCATGTATTAACAGCCTGGTTATTAGAGGCCAGTTTAGCACAAGGTCAGCATGGGCTTGGGCAGTTACCCTGAAAGGCATCTGTTGCACTGTCTCAGGAATTCTTTCCAAAGAGCTTCCAAATGAAACTGTAGACATTTTCCACTTTATCTTTAGCAATAGAATCAATACTATTGTTTATCATCTGAGAGGAATGATGACTATTTCAAAGCCATTTGTGATCGTGAAGAAGTCATGCCAAGAAATTATCTCCAAATATTTTGAAGTTGACTATTCCAGAGGAAAAACTGAAAAGAAAAAAAAAAAGATTATGGTTTGGATAATATATTCTCTCCTATGTTCTCAGAGGAGCAGTGTAAAATTACCATTCATTTCTGAGGCTTCGGTAACATATTACTGAATGTAAGTTTGTATTATTTTTGGAGAATAATTACAATGAAATTAAACCAATCTCAAACTGCTATTTAAATCCATGCAACATTTAATTAAACAATAGTCAAACATATACAAAGATTTTAATAGACACGTTGCAAATAGTGTTCTAGAACTTCTGCCTTACTGAATATTGAAATAAATTTCAATTTGATCCTATCTAAAGTGGTTTGGCGGATATGTGTATGTTCTTACAGCCAAACATAGTTTCCAAGATCACCTGCAAGGAGAGTAGGAGTTAACCATTTTTACTATGACTTGTAACAGTTGAGCCGAGTAAAAGGCTGGGCACTGTGTAAGTGGATTTAGTATTTTGCATCATGCTGAGAGGCATTATACAATAATTTTCCTTGGTAGCTTAGTTAATTTTACTTTATTTTTATCTTTTCAAAGGATTCATTTACTTAAAGAT